CTGTTTGCTCTGAATAGACAATATGCTCATAGGATTTTACTCTTTAATCTGATTGCTTTGCCTAATAGAAATCATGTCCATAGGATTTCACGTTTAAGTTTGTTTGCTCATCAAGTAGAAACCATGTCTATAAGGTTTTACATTCTGTCATGTTTAGAAACCATGCTTATAGGTTCCAAACAATCATGTCTTAAAATCAGTTTAATAATAGATGCCATGCCTATAGGACCTAATCCAGATTCAGTTATAACAAGTATTTATGTATGTTTCCATACCTGCAAATCGTTAAAATCAGTGTTACGCTTAGATATCATGCATATAGGGAGCTCTACTCGCAATTCTGTCTGTTAATTTAGTCTAATAAATCGACTTGATCATGCCTAGTTCGTTTCTGAATTGGTTCTATTAAGTATTAAGCATTTCCTGAAACAAGTTCTTTCAAACTGCCTCAATCTCATTAGATATCATGCCTATAGGTATTAAAGGATGTTTATTTCAAAACCTGTTTTGTTTCCGTATTAATATAGACATTAGTATTCTGCGTATAGGCAAGCCTTTAGGGCGTCTTCTACATTCTCTGAAACTGTCCCTATCGCTCGATGTTTTCTGATCCTAACAGGCTTTTAAAAAGAAACCCTAGGCAACTACTAGGGTGTAACTTCTGAGTCTAAAAAGGGTTTGTCTGTTTCTGCATATTCACTTAGATATCCTGCTTTAGGACATTGATTAATAAAAGACCTTAACTGTGCTTGAGTCGTGCTGCTTATGTGTTTGTTTGAGGAGGAAACTCTGAGCCTCTTAATTGTTCCCATTATGTGTGAAAGTCCTAAATGTTTTTGACTATCGCCTTAGAATTTTCGCCTTTTAAAACCTTAGGGGTACGTCTAGAACCACCTATAGGTAGAGATCCTAACTCCCTCTAGGAACATTAACAAGGGACGGGTAGTAGCACGCAATAAGAATCATTGACCAAACACTCGCTTTGCATGACCAATAAGGGGATGGGAAGGGTAGACATGGGATATGATGACTACACGCTAATATCACGTGTAGCCCCTCATTGAGGAGTGTTTACCGGACATTGCGTGGGGTGATCCTATAGGATAACCAACGTAGGACACCTCCTTACAAAATCCTTTCTTTATTTAAACCTTTGTTCAAACCTTTATCTTACTACTTGAGTTACCCAACGTGCTTTATAGCCTGTTTGGACAAGCTTCTTTTTGGCCAAAAGTGCTTTTTTTGGCCAAAAGCACTTTTGGCCAAAACTTGAGGTGTTTGGCCAAGCTTTTGGAAGGAAAAAAAGTTCTTTTGAGGAGAAGCAGAAGCAGTTTTGGAGAAGCAGAAAAAAGTAGCTTCTCTCCAAAAGCACTTTTTTGAGAAGCACTTTTCAGAAAAATACACTTAGAAGCAGTTTTTTAAAGCTTGGCCAAACACTAATTGCTGCTCAGAAGTGTTTTTCAAACTAATTAGCCAAACACAAACTGCTTCTCACCAAAAGTACTTTTGAGAAAAGTACTTTTGAAAAAAAGCACTTCTCAAAATAAGCTGATTTTTGCAGCTTGGCCAAACGGGCTATTACTTGCAACTTATTTGATTCAACCGTTTATATGGACTAATTTGTGAATATAAGTTCGGCTGGGACCCACAGTTGTGGACCAAGAGGGGTGCCTAACACCTTCCCCTCGAGGTTACTTCAGGCCCTTACCCTAATCTCTGGTAATGCAAACCAACCCAAGAGTTAATCGCTCTAGGTGCCCTAACGCACCATAACCCGTTAGGCGGCGACTCTTCAAATACCCAATTCCCAAAAGGAAATGAGTCATTACACCCCGTGAATGTCGAAACCCGGACCTTTCCCCATCAAAAAGGGAGGGAAAAAGGGGGCACGACAGACCGTGAGCAATAAATTCAGGTTCATCGCCCTCAGGGTAATTCCTGATCCGGAAGTGGGAATCAGGGTCCAGTACCCTATCTTTGGTGTTCTCTTTGTTGCTTTTTGGGACCCAGACAGCTACCATTTTCTTCTTCACCTCAGAATTCAGGGAGCCCGAGGATTTTCTCTTTTTCTTCTTTTTTCTCTTCCTTTGCGGCAGCTCTGGGCTGTCCAAAAATGGAGGGTTCAGCGAGCGAGGATGGGGCCTCGTCCTCATCCAACGGCCTAAGCTCGATGGTCTTGGGTAACATGTGAGAAGGAAAAAGACTTAGCAAACATACAAGTCAAGTATGTGAGTGTAATTATTCGGGAGGAAGTCTTACCATGGGACCGGGCCTCCCACTTGCCCTTCGAGAGCTTGCATCATTCGCGCTCGAAGTAAGACATTTGCTTACAAATCCCCTCGATCCACTCCTTGAAACAGGGGACTGCATTAGGAACCTGGGATCGCTGCACAACGGTAAACACGGGCAATTAGAAAAAGAATAAAGGAAAGTGCCAAGTACTCAAGAAGGAAAAGACTTACGGGATGAGTTCCACTTTTTAAGGAGCGGTAGAAATTCGGGGGGAATGAGGTCTTCGGTTTTCACCCGATCGAACCTCCCCTGCCAACCTCGATCTCGGTCATCATCGATGCTCAAGAATGGAGCTTTACTTGCTTGACGAATGAGCTAGATCAACCCCCCTCGGAAGTTTCGGGGACTGTAGAGACGAAGCAAATGGTCGAGGGTAAACTGAGGTGCTTTGGTGTTTTTACGAAGTGGCGGGGGAGGATTATGATCCTGCAAAAGGACGGGTGAATTTGCCCAAGGCAGACCTCATACCTTTTGCAGAAACGCAAGATAATAGGGTCCACCATGGCGAGCGCGAAGGGGTAAGTGTAAACACTTAGGTATCCCTCCACGTGAGTGGTGATGTCTTCGTTGGGCCTGGGAACGACAACCTCCTTGCTCACCCAGTTGCAGTCCACCCAAACTGTGGGGAATGTGTCCTCGGTAAGGAGCATATGTACCTCCATAATCCCTCACCTCGATCCCTTCTCGACTTTGAAGTCGTTTTTGATAGAGCAGCCCCCGGGAACGAAACTCTTCAAGGGAGGTTGCAGGACTACCTCGGGAAAGGCCACCTCGGCATCTGTGGCTGGGTTGGAAGTTGAAGAGGCGGTTTGCTGAGGCCTGGATTTAGAAGTTTTTGCCATCGGAATCTAGAAAATATGAAGGTTTGAAGATGAGGATGAAGATTTGAAGATGGGGATGAAGGTATGAAGGTCTAGTTTGAAGATTTAATGAAGAAGTATGAAGATTTGAAGATGAAGATATGAAAACCTAAGAAGCAATATATGAAGATTTGAAGGGGATAGAGTTAAGTGGAGAATTCGAGGGTAAATCAAAGAGCTCTGGAATCGAGAAGTGAAAAAATGAAAAAAAGGGATCGGAGTTTTTATAGAGAAAGATAATCAATGCGTGACATTTTATATTCGAGGATAGTCAACAGCGGCTGACACGTGTCCGAAGTCAGAACGACTCGACTGATGGGAAGTTTCGCAGACCCGTCAACTCGATTGTAACTTACAAAGGAAGGATCGGGGTTAATTTATCGCTTCCCATTGCTTCGATAAATCTACTCCGGAAAACGAGGGGACTATCAATGTACGGGTAAAATCGGGGGCAAAGTTTTTCTCGATTCCCCGATGAGAGAATGAAGGGGAAGCACGTATCGACGTGATTATAATCGAGGCCAGAAACCCCTCGTATCGAGACCCGGGAGGAATGAACGATGTATCTAAGATCTGACATGATAAAGCAACGTATCCGGATCGAGTATAACTTCTGGACCTCAGAAGACGCGGTGAACGGTTATGCATAACGGATAGGGGCCCGTAATATTCGCCCTCAACCGGATATTACAGTGCGAACCCTGTTCAGTATCAATTATGGATCAACAATTACCGGAAAGAGAAGACTTTTACGTTTTTAGACTTGTAGTAGGATTGAAATTCTCCTACTATATAAAGAGAAAGTTTTTCTTTAGTCCGACACATTATAACATGCAATTCAAAGCAATGAAAGTTTACTTTTGTCTTCTAGCTATTGTTCAAGGCATTACTCACTTGTTCTTTTATTCACTCGCGGCCAAGCTTGTACCGAGGGTCCAATCGAGGACGAGTTCCATTGTCCAAATCTGAGAACAGTCTTGATCATTACATTGCGGTTGGTTTGATCATTTATTTCGTCCTTAATTCATCTATCTTTTATTCTTAATTGTTCGCATTAAATTAAACCACGTGCCCCTTATACCGCGTACAAATTTAGTTTTTACTCATTTTTTGTGGCAAACAGAACTACTGGGTACACAACTTTCTTGTTTAAAGAGCCCTTATCCAGATCTTCTTGAAACCATAGCAAGCATATACATGGAGTACCAACTTGAGGCAACATCCATAGCTCTAGATGTCTCCACATTAGAAGTTCAGACGCCAATTTTCCGCGTGTTTGCTGGAAGTTGAAGAGGCCAATGTAGTGATAGTAATTATAACTTTTGTACTTGTTCTCTAGACATATCATACATTAAATAAATACAGAACATAGGGATGAAACCATAAGGTACAGGGAATATATGTGTCCATTTAAAGTTACAACCTAATAAGGCATGGCAAATTAGTGACCAAAATTCGTAACATTGCGCTTCAATTTCTGTTATATTCCTTTTTTTTTTCCATTACTAAGCAATGCTATTCATTTTTATTCCTCTCGAAACAAATGTGGTTACAAATCAACGCTATTTTCACTTACAAATTGATGTTAATTTATGAAATTGAGAATGAATTAAAAAAATTCAGTTGAATTTGTGATTTGAAGATATTCAAGTAAAAGATTTCAATTACTCTACACCTTTTCATATCAATTACTCAACCTCACGTTAGGATTCCCGTATTAGGATTTAACTGAGACGAGCCAAAATTAATTTGGGACACCCAATTCTATTCTAAATAGAAAAAGAAAAAAGAAAAACACGCTCTTTGCCAAATTTTCCACACTGTTTCCTTTAAAGCTGATGACATAACCCTAGATTTCCAATAATAGCAGCAATCGTCATCGAACTTTCTAGAAACTCAACGACACCCTAGAACCCTCCACAGTCGCCACTACCACACAACCCCACCCCCTCCCCCCCTCTTTAAGAAATCCCGCAACCCGCAATCTTCTTCCTCTATTCACTACACTCTTCCCTTATTCTTCCAGAAACTTCCCATAAAATCAACTATGGCCGACGAAGCTAAGGCCAAGGGTAACGCCGCCTTCTCCGCCGGCAATTTCACCGACGCTATTACCCACTTCACTGAAGCCATCAATCTTTCACCAACTAATCACGTTCTTTACTCCAACCGATCTGCTGCTTACGCATCCATCGGAAAATATTCTGACGCTTTATCCGATGCTCAGAAAACAGTTGACCTAAAATCCGACTGGGCTAAAGGCTACTCTCGTCTTGGCGCCGCACATTTAGGTCTTCACCATTACGACGAAGCCGTTTCTGCTTACAAGAAGGGCCTTGAAATTGATCCAAATAACGAGGCCTTAAAATCTGGTCTTTCTGATGCTCAGGCAGCTCAGGCTCGATCTCGTGGCCCGGCTAGTTCTGCAAACCCTTTCGGTGATGCGTTTTCTGGACCCGAGATGTGGGCGAAGTTGACTGCCGACTCAAGTACACGGGCTTACTTGAACCAGCCCGATTTTGTTAACATGATGAAAGATATTCAGAAGAACCCGACTAATCTAAACCTTTATTTGAAAGATCAGAGAGTAATGCAAGCGCTTGGGGTTTTATTAGGTGTGAAATTGTCGACGAGGATGCCGGAGGAGGAGGATGCTGAGATGCCGTCCTCTTCGCCGGAGAGGAAGAGGCCTGCGGGGGAGGAGAAGAAGCGGCCCGAGCCCGAACCTGAGCCCGAGTCAATGGAAGTGGGTGAGGAGGAGAAGGAGATTAAAGAGAGGAAAGCAAAGGCACAGAAGGAGAAGGAGGCGGGTAATGCGGCTTACAAGAAGAAGGATTTCGAGACTGCAATTCAGCATTATAGCAAGGCTATTGAGCTTGATGATGAGGATATTTCATTCATTACTAACCGTGCTGCTGTCTACTTGGAGATGGGAAAGGTATTATCCACATTATCTAATGCTGTTTTGAGTTATATGTAGTGTAGTGATAGTAGTAAAGTTATAAAGATATTAAATTTTATGGTTCAGTGTCAAAGATATAATTTTTAAGATGTTGCAATGCTAGAGTTAGCCTAGTGAGTGCAATTGAATGAAGATTATGGGAGACAAGGGTCAAAAAAGATATTAAATTTAGCTTAGCGACACGATTGAACTGAAGAATATGGGAGATAAAGTTTGAATTCCGCCATCTTAGTAAGTCTTGGTGGTTAGAGGTACCCGACAATATTGGTAGGAGGGTGCAGGTATGGTAGGATAGTCCATGTGCATGTTGACAGCTATTAAAAAAGGAATTACTTTTAAGAATTTCAATTGTAAATTTTACTATAGAAATTGAATAGAAACATTTTGGAATGTCCAGATATGGAGTGTCATATAAATTGGAACCAAGGAATGGAGTATCTTTGTTGCTACTTGTATCTTCTTTTACCTGCTGCAGTAGAATTGCCCATTTGAGTCGTCCTTGCCTAATTATAGGAGGGCATAATACCTAATGAAAAGTTTTCATTATGCTATCCAATCTATTAGATGAGCAGGTGGATTATGTCTTTCCGAAACCTATGAAAAGTTGCGAGGTGGTGATTTTGATAATGATATTTCACACATACAGGTACTATGGATTCCATAGTTTGTATTAGGCATAGAGTGGTGTGGTGCTCTTTTTCTTGAAGATCTGCTTGCTAAAGAACCTGAAAATTCTATGCGATGTCCTGATATAGAGCACTTGTTTAGGTGTCCTGCGGGTGCTGGGTTAAAATTCATGTGAGAAATTAACGTTTTTAGAAGAAACCTAAACATTACTGAAAATGCAAGTAAAACAAGCATACTGGAAACTGTAATGCACAGTTATTTTGTAAGTTCCGTTTATTCTAGCCTTTCATGGTTGATGCGGCATAGAGTTGTTTGCTGATGGTAGTGCGGAATTATGTAACATTTTGTTTTAGAAGTACTTGGATACGATAACGATTTCTCCCGCGTTTAACAAACTTTCTCTCTTTAATAGCTGTCACTTCCATCCCCTGTTGTGTTAATGGAGTCTGCATTTAATAGACTTCAGTCAAGAGGTCTCTGTCTGCTCTTCTTCTAGGTGTTTGCAGTGGTATTTATCCTTGCAATGATGCCTTTTTTCTGGTGGATGATGCATTAAGTACCCCCAGTTTATCAGGCATTGCTGAAGCAGGAATTCTGTGAAAGGATTCCTAAAAAGAATAGGAGTTACTAGTGATGCTTGTTGGATTTTGCTGGTTTGTTTTTCACATTCTGATGGTCTGATATCTGATTTGCGAGAAAGAGCCCATCATATATGTAGTGAGTCACAACTGAACAGCCTAACTATTGACTCTAGGGGAAATCGCGAGTCAATCCACATCCTTTGTTAGTTGATCTCCAACTAGGACCAGCAAGATTCTTGAGTTCATGGGTAAAGGTTTGCGAGTTCATCCACTTTGTTTTCTAATTAATCACCAACTTGAACCAGCCAAACTGTTGAGATTAAGGGAGACATTACGAGTGAGTCCCCTTCGTTTGCCAATTAGCCAGCGTCTAGGGCCAGTACTAGCATATAAAGCTGAGGGGTGAATAAGGAGATGATTGGAGATTCCAAGCAATCATTTGGTTTTGAATCTTTGCTAGCTTGCTGCACCTTTGTATCCTTGTCTTTTCTGGGAACTGCATGAGATGCTGAATCGTTAGAGAAATAGACATGGTGCTGAGTTTTGGGTTTCTATCCCCCTTGCCTCCCAGTTTGTTTCTCCTTTTTCTCCCTTTTTAAAAGAAGATCCCATAATTCCTTGCCTTGATTTCAGTATGAGGACTGCATCAAAGATTGTGACCAAGCTGTTGAAAGGGGGAGAGAGCTAAGGTCAGACTTTAAAATGATTGCAAGGGCTCTGACTCGAAAGGGAACTGCCTTGGCAAAGATGGCAAAAAGTTCTAAGGATTTTGAAGTTGCAATTGAGGTTTTCCAGAAAGCCCTGACTGAACATCGCAACCCAGATACTCTGAAGAAACTCAATGATGCTGAGAAGGCGAGAAAGGAATTAGAGCAGCAAGAGTATTTCAATCCGCAAATAGCAGACGAAGAGCGTGAGAAAGGTATTTTCTTCCTAATGCTGTCTGAGTTGTTTTACTCTTATGGGGCTAACTTTCTTCACTATGTTGCAGGAAACCAGTTCTTCAAAGAGATGAAGTATCCCGAGGCGATTAAGCATTACACTGAATCCATAAAGAGGAATCCCAAAGACCCGAGGGTATTCATCTCTTCTGTCACCTGTTTAGACTCGAGGACTTTTCCCAGTCCTTATTAAGGGCTGAATCCGCCTTTTTGTTTTGTTTTGTTTTGTTAGGCATATAGCAACCGGGCTGCTTGCTACACGAAGTTAGCTGCATTGCCTGAGGGGCTCAAGGATGCTGAGAAGTGCATTGAGCTTGATCCAACATTTGTAAAGGGCTACACCAGGAAAGGTGCTGTTCAGTTTTTCATGAAAGAGTATGAAAAAGCTATGGAAACTTACCAGGAAGGATTGAAGCATGATCCTCAGAATCAGGAACTGCTAGATGGTGTGAAGAGGTAATTAGAAATTTCTTTTTATATTCTTGTATCTCATCAGTTGCTTTCTTCCGAGGTTTCGTGATCATGATTCCTAATATTGGTTTCCATTGGGGTGTGATCTGTATTTGACTTTACTGATTCTTCTTCTTCCTCCTCTGAAATTTGCTGTATCTTGTTTATTCAAGACAACATGACCTTCGATGTAGAAGTGAGGTGGTTTTGTCAGTTTTATGGTTTTCACTTGTAACTTAAACTACTGTCTTTTTGCAGATGTGTGGAGCAAATAAACAGAGGAAGCCGTGGAGATCTAACTCCAGAGGAGCTCAAAGAGAGACAGGTATAGTTTCTTTGCACTGTACTCTTATCTTGCTCTGTGCAGAAGTAACGGGGGTAATGGTAACACTCATACATCTAATTCTTTGAGCAGGCCAAGGGAATGCAGGATCCAGAAATTCAGAACATCCTTACAGACCCAGTAATGAGACAGGTAATAGTTGGTCGTCAAGAGTACTATTTTTGACTTGCCATACCAATGACATTATGTAACTTCTACATTTGTAACTAACTGCATTTGGGTGTGAATGTTTGTATTTTGGAGCAGGTGCTAACTGACTTCCAAGAGAACCCAAAAGCTGCGCAGGATCATATGAAGAACCCTCTTGTGATGAACAAGATCCAAAAGTTGATTAATGCAGGAATTGTCCAAGTTAAATAAGTAGAGCAACATTTACAACTCACAAGGGAAATAGGGCATGGCTATCCATTATTTATTGTCGTTTGTGTATTCAAGGGAATCGTTCATAGGACTCCTTTTACTCCTCTGAGGGTGTAAGGTCGCACAATGTCTTGGTTTCCTGGTTTTCTTCTGTCGCAACTTTAAATTTTGCATCCTGTTGGCTCTTTTATGTTCTGATTGTTATTAAATTCAAGTGACGCTGCTAACTCCTCCAAACTGGAGAGATAACTCTATTTGTCAGAGTGGTGTGTGCTTTTACGATGGTTTAGAAAAACATGTAGGAGAAATATTTTATGAATCGAACATTGAGAAAATTGAATATATTTAAGAATCAAACATTGTTAGAGAAAAATTTGGCTGTAAAAAATAAAATATTTTGTAGTAACTGTTAGTATTTGCTGAAGCGAAGAATTATTCTTTGTGGTGTCAGCTAACACTGATAAGAAATACAATTGTTGGGTTGCAAGTCGCTCTCTGGACAATATTATGTGGCAGACTGTAAATAGTATTTCTGCAGATTGTGAAAATTGTAAATGCCTTTGGGTTGTTTTCGGGGTAACTCCAGATCTGATTTTGGGGCTACCATTGGAATCATACTTGTTTTGTATATAAAATTTTTAAATTTACTCACTTTAGAATATATTTTAGACTACGCATATGGAGTTCCAAAATTTGGTGTCTTAAGTTGTTATAGTGCAAACTTTAGACAAATTTGGGTTGACATATTATTCAAAAATTATATAAAGCTAGCTGCGGGCCCTACACAGTGGAAACTTCAGAAAAATTGAGTTTGAATGTAAGTGTAAACTTCAGATAATCGGGTTTAAAGTTCTTCGGCGAACTTTGGACAAATTAGTCTGAAGTGATGTAACAGATACGAACAAAATACGTAACTAATTTTTTTTTTCAAATACACGATGGCTTCTCTTTTTTTTTTTCGGGTTGGCGTACACTTAACTGTCACAGCATTAGTCTTTTTTCTCCAATCCGATGTTGTGCTGCTAAATTTTCCCATATCTGTATAATTAATATTAAAAGGGAGATATCCTCAAATCACAATATCAAGTAAGTGCTCTTGCAAGAAAGAAAGACAGAAAAAAATAAATGTTTCCAAAAGCTTAAAGGAACACATTCGAGAATCCTCTAGGGAATTTTTTTTTAATTAAACAAAGAATTACAGAATACTATGTTGACAGATGCAATAGCAGAGGCAGATCTATGATTTTTACTTTGATGAATTTAATCTTAGCTGAACGCTTTACTTACTGTATGGTTATAGTGGTGCCTATGCAACTATATATAACGAGACCTGAACCAAATGTAAATCAGCAAAAAGAAAAAATAAATTGGTAATAAATCAGCAAAAAAATTTCATGCATAAGCCTACTTATTAGTTTTACAACATTAGACTACTCTGCTTATTTTGGACCTCTATATTATAAAGAGATTGCAACTTAAAAACAAACGTAAATTAAACAACTCAACCATGCATTAAATTGTTACAGGCAAAAATCTGTTCATATAGTAAGTTGAATCCCACAATTAGGACACACTCAATTGAAGTTTCTTTGGATGAGATATACCTTAAATGCATGTACACTGTTGTCATTCCTTCTTTTTCCCCCTCAGAGACTAAGCTTATAGAATTCAACCAGATCAGAAAAATCGTTTATAAGCTCAAACCTATAACCAATATCAACTATTCTCCATCAGTCTTTCATGCTGGTACAAAAAGAATATCGTGCACACGCCTTAACATCTTCGTCGAGTAAATACCTATTTTTAAGTTCTTGGATCCAAAATCTCGAAGCTGACTGATTAAGCAGCTGCTGTTTCCTCCTTTTTGGCAAGCTGGTTTTGAATGTGTTGGGGAACAACATCAAAGTTGGCTAATTGCATGACATATGACGCACGGCCTTTTGTCATTCCTCGCAACGTACTAACATAATTGAACATTTCTGCTAATGGAACTAAAGCATCAACAACCTGCACCAATTAAATTAGATCTGTCAGAAGAACTTCATGTATATTTTTTCCCAGCGAAACAACAATTTATCACATGCATACTTTTCACAATTGTAAAAACATGTTACAGTCCCTCCAAGAGGTCCGTTTTAAAGTAGATAAAGCTACATGTTTTGTAAGTCTTCATTAGGGAAATCAAACGACAATGTCCTATCGGATAACAACAACAACAACAACAACAACAACAAACCCAGTATAATCCCACGAGTCGGGTTTGGGGAGGGTAGTGAGTACCAGACCTTACCCCTACCTGGAGAGGTAGAGAGGCTGTTTCTGAAAGGCTCAAGAAAAGGTGGAAAAGAAGAATAGGGGAGAAGAAAAGGAGGAAAGAGGGGGGAGAAAGGCGATAAGCAAAGATTATCGTCTTATCGGATATGGAGTATAAAATGTTAATTGACAGACATATTAGATTATTCGTCTTAGCGAAAAAATTATTACTCCATCCCAATTCACATGACTTTCTATTTTGGTACGCTCCGAATTCTTTTACACCATTCCATTTTCTATAGAATTCTGAGAACTGCCCTTTTCAAAATTTGATTTTTTTCCCTTTATCAAACTAACTTCTCACCCACTATTTTATATTCTCTTCCACCATCAGTATTATAATATATAAATCAAATTAACATCTCAAATTCTATTTCCAGTCAAAAAACCCTCATAAAAAATGGGATAGAGAGAGTAACATAATGGCTGAAGAGTGAGATTGATAGAAATAAGTTAAATAATCAAATCAATTTGAGTTCTTGAATATTTTGAAAATTGTACAGAATAATATTATAAAATAGATTGATGTCGAATATTTAGGGATGTCTCAAATTCAGAATGGACATAATACTTCATATACTATGATATGCTCCATTACTGTGTGAAAACTATGCATCTCCAATTCTCATTCAAAATAAAGTGCAGTTGGAAGGTGTAAAACATAGATATAACAAGCAGATAGATGAAAGGAGTCCACTACTCATACCTTAAGACCGCCAGGTTTATCTCCAAAGCTGTTGATCTGACCTCTCCTTGAGTTAAGGTCACCAATCACATCTCCTAGATGTTCCTCTGGTGTAACTACTTCAACCTTCATTATCGGTTCTAGCAATTGTGGACCAGCTTTTCTCATCCCTTCCCTAAAAGCTCCCCTAGCAGCAAGCTGGAATGCCAAAACACTTGAATCCACATCATGGTAAGAGCCATCTACTAGCACTGCACGAACATCAACAACGGGAAAGCCAGCCAGCACCCCATTACTCATGCATTCTTCTAATCCCTTCATAACACCTGGAATATATTCTTTTGGCACCGCACCTCCCTTGATTTCACTCTTGAATTCATATCCACCACCTGTTTCCATGGGTTCAAACCTTACCGTGATATCGGCAAACTGTCCTGACCCACCAGACTGTTTCTTGTGGACGTATTTCACTTCTGAGATCTTGGAAATACTCTCGCGGTAGTTTACTTGTGGAGCTCCAACATTGGCTTCCACCTGTCAATGAGCAAGCAACACCAAGTTACTAAATGTAAGAAATCAGATATTTTCAATTGTACAAGGCAAACTACTGAAAATAAGAACGGCAGGCAAAGATTGCCAAGTGATCAAAATAGGCATCATATTTAGCAGAAATTTTTATGAGAAAATCAAAGACACGAGAGAGACATTTTTGCAAATATCAATAAAATTCTGCTTGGGAGTCTGTTAAGCATATCCAGACAATTTTCTCTTATCAGATATCAGTTTAAGCAGTAAATAAGAGTAATAGCAAAAGTAGCAACTGCAATGGAAATTCTTCTGATCATAATAGGAGAAAAAGTAGTTTTTTTTCCTTCTTTCTTTGTGGGGGGTTTTTGTTGGGTTTTGCAGGGTTTGATAGGGGTTTTCAGATACATACCTTAAATTCCCTTTTGAGTCGATCAACAATGATCTCAAGATGTAATTCTCCCATCCCCTCGATAACTGTCTGGTTAATCTCCTCATCCCGTGAAAAATGGAAAGATGGATCCTCTTGAGCCAGTTTAATTAAGCCTGTCGCCATCTTATCAATGTCCGCTTTGGTCTTGGGTTCAATTGCAACCTTTATAACAGGATCGGGAAAATCCATGCGTTCAAGGACAACAGGCTTGTCGGGATCAGCCAATGTCTCTCCTGTAATTGTATCTTTCAATCCAGCAAGAGCGACGATATCACCAGTTAACGCTGTCTTTATATCCTCTCTGCTGTTAGCATGCATTTCAAGAAGTCTGCCAATTCTCTCCTTCCTGCCTTTGTTTGCATTCACTACATACGATCCTGCACTAAGCTTTCCTGAATATACCCTGACGAATGTGAGAGACCCCACAAAAGGATCATTCATGATCTTAAATGCCAAACCAGCAAACGGTTCATCATCACTTGCGGCCCTCTCAATGGTCACTTCTGGATTATCAGGGTCAGTTCCTTGCATTGCTGGCAAGTCAACTGGAGAAGGCAAATAATCCACAACTGCATCGAGAAGCGGCTGAACCCCCTTGTTCTTGAAAGCTGAGCCACACAAGACTGGGACAAAACTGCCACCGATAGTTCCCTTCCTGATCAACTTTTTAATGGTTTCCTCGTCAGGTTCAACTCCTTCCAAGTAGTTCTCCATAGCATCATCGTCCAAATCAACTATAGTCTCAATCATCAGTGCCCTATATTCCTCAGCCAGCTCTTGAAGATCAGCGGGAATATCCTCATAGGAAAACTTTGCTCCTAATTCTTCTCCGGACCAAACAATAGCTTTCATCTTCACAAGATCAACTAATCCTTTGAAGTTATCCTCTGCGCCGATTGGAATCTGAATTACAAGTGGTTTAGCACCCAAGTTTGATACTATCATGTCTCTTGTTCGGAAGAAATTTGCTCCAAGACGATCCATCTTATTAACGAAACATATCCTTGGGACTCCATACTTATCAGCTTGTCTCCAAACAGTTTCCGATTGAGGTTCCACACCAGCAACACTGTCAAACAAGCATATGGCACCATCTAAAACCCTAAGGGCACGCTCTACTTCAAGAGTGAAGTCCACATGACCAGGAGTATCAATTATGTTGATACGATGCTTGTTCCAGAACGTGGTAGTAGCAGCAGAAGTAATTGTAATCCCCCTCTCTTGCTCTTGCTCCATCCAGTCCATAGTGGCTGTCCCCTCATGCACTTCACCAATTTTATAGTTTCTGCCAGTATAGTAAAGGACAC